TTGCTTTTATTTTTCTTCTCCCACCGGTCGTAGACTCTAAAAAAATTAATATATATGTGTGTATCTATCATCCAACATGATCTGTAGATACATAATTTAGAAAAAATATATTATTTACAAGGTGACATTTAATAAACGAAATAATTTACGTACTTTGCTCGATGGCTTTTTATGTCTTCGTATGGATATATGCATTGACCTCGACGGGAAAAAAATGGATTTTGACCGAACGTGATCACGAGTAAAAATATCTTTATTGGTGTCGCATGCATTATATTAACCGGATGTCGTCACCACATAACTTCAAATAAGAGGGGCAAATAGATCGGTTCTTGGTCTTTATTCTTGTTCTCGACTCTTTCGTTTCGTTTACTTTTCACATATTTAATATTAGAATTGTAAATAAATAAAAAATAAACAATAAGCATTTTGTGTTTAGCTTATTTGCGTTTCAAGTTCTTCAAACTTGGTTCTAGTTAATTTTCGTCTTCTTCTTATTTTTATTTATGGAAGGTCATGTGTATATTAAAGGACAATAGTGAATTAGAAAATGGTCGAATCCCGTGAAATATATTCAAAACATTACAAGCAATGCTAAAATGTTTTCTTTCCTGTCAATTCTATTTTTTAACAAAGTCATCGACCATTTTGATTCTTTTTTAAGAATATAAGTAAAAGTAACATATTTAAGACTCATAATTAAAAAAATATATAATGTTAAACACATGTTATAACCTTTAAGAATATAAGTAAAAGTAACATATTTAAGGTCTTCTATCAACTTGCTTGTTGTTAACACAAGGTTAGTCGTGGATTGATTCATCTAGTAAAATTAAAGAACTTGGCTCATGTAGGCAATGATAATAATTTGATAATGGTTAAGAATAATGGCTAATTCCTAAATTTACGATGGATACATATAAAATAAGTTCTCATTTTTTAGTGATAGGCTCTCTAACAATCAAGTTAGTGGTCGAAAGGTGACGAATTGAGCTGAAAGGCTCTTTATGAAACAGATATTTATTTGTATATGAATCTTTTTGTAGATGAAAAGAAATTATAATAAAATTAGAAATCGTTTAGAAATTGTTTTAAAATGAGAAATTGGAACCCCTTTTCTTTGATGGTTCAAGCCTTTATATTGTAGTCATGATTGCAGCATACATGGTAGAAATGACACGAATATCTTTTTTTTCAATGGCTAAGTGGACAAGTAGTGGTGCTTTGTTATTATTGTATTTGATCTTCGATAGTATTAGTGTTTGTCACGATGAATGATGATTTGATTAATATTATCATTGAAAAACCTTCATTACATACTTTATCCTCCTACTGACAGTAATCAGTAGAGAGGAGAGTGATGTCTTTCTTTTTTGGGCCAGGGTGTTTCAGTATAAGAGAGTTCCCAAACTTTTTCTAGAGGGCAGCCCACCTTATAAGGGGTAGTTGTCCATTTGCAACTTTGGGCCCATCTAATTGATTCGTGTTTTTTGGATGAGATAAATGAGCGATTTGGTAATGACAGATATGATGTGCCTACTATTGGTGAGACTAGAAAGGTAATTGAAATGTGTCTTCATTAAATGTATGCCCTCTGAGTCTTCTCAGAAGCCACCTTTATTCTCTGTTTTTACCCTTAGGCCCTGCTTGTGATAACTACGATGACACGCGCAAAAGAGATGTGCAATCGCTAATGTGATTTTTGTTTGGACGTACTATTTTTCTTGAGCATACCAATTGTCCCTCCTAAGTCTTTGTCATTTTTCAAGGATAAAGACTTGTGTTTTGATGGATTCTAATCTTCGTGTACTGCTATTGCTTTCGAACTTGACAGTGACGGTCATAATTGGTTTGTTAGTTGGAAACTATGCTGTATTAGGAAAATTCAGTAATTGGCATGTGGATTTGAGGATGCCTTGTGATCTGAGTCTTGAGCAGCCTATATAAATTAGGGTTCTTCTCCCGCATGCCAGTTCTTTCTACCATATTTCCATTTCTTCCTTTCCCGTTTGGGTGTAATCTCCATGGAAGAGTGTGTTTTTGAAGTTCTTCTCTTGATCTCTATTTGATATGAGCATTTTGGCCGACGTAATTTGCTATTTCTTCATTGTGTCATTTCTTTAGTGAATATGACCAATACTAGATTGGGTTGGTTCTAGAGCTTTTTCTTGTAATAGAACGATTCAGATGTTTCCTTAAGAGTGGTTAGACCGCTTCCATCTCATATGATGATGACTGTCCTCGTAGGAGAAGTGCTCTAGGTTGCTGGTGTATAGTGATAGGCTGGGCCTAGGTATGTCGCGCGAGCCCTTCTAATTAGTGATAAGAAGGCCAGCCCAGCCTTGTTTCTACGTGGGTTGGGCTTGGCCCAACCCATAATTCTTTTTTATCTCCTGACCAAGCTAAGTCCAACAACAGGTTTCGGATTTTTTCCTAAGTTATCTTCGATCAAACTGTCTCCCTTCTCTCTCTCTCTCGTCTCTCTTCTTTCTCTTTCAGTACCCAGAAAGAACTTCCCTCTCTTGCCCCTTCATCTCCTTCGTTCATCAAGACTTAAAAACCTACTGAAATTGAAACGACCTCCCCCTCTAAGTTAATTTGCCTCCATTTTCTCAGACCCAATCCAATTCCCTCACTCTCTTACTCGTTTGTCTCCCATCTTCTTCTGTCTCCCTTACCCAGAAAAACCCGGAAAGCTTCTCACTTTCTTCGATTGATTCCCCCAAATATAAGGAAACTAGGAGGGGTTGCATGTTGTATGATGGCAGTGACGTCGTTGGTTTTTGAACAAACCAGAGGCAGGGCAGTGATGGTTTGAATCGAATAACAAAAGGGGAAGTCGAAAGTTTACCTGAGTTTGTTCGATCGAAGATGAAGCGAAGGCAGTGAGGGGGAGTTGCCTTCTGCTTGCTCTCTTCTGATTATCCTTCATCCAAGCCCAGAAACACCTCAGAAATCCTTTGAAAGAACCCAGAAAAGGACCTAGAAATTTCTTTGAAACCCAGAAAATCTTTAAAAACGCAGAATGTCTTTGAAATCCAGAAATTTCTCCTTCTAAATTGCTCCCAATTCCCAGAAATTCTCTTCTCAATTTCTCAGAATTCTCACAATTCCTCCTCTGATTTTCCTCCGAAACTCTTCTGCCCAAATTTCCCTCCAATCTTCCATGTCTGTTTCCTCAATTCTCAGCCTTTTTATAGGCAACCAAAACCATTTCAAAACCCAGAACCCCCCTCATTGGTTCGAATTTCCTGAGTTTTTGGCATCCTGTGAACAAACAAACGAAATGGGTTAAATGTGCGTGTGTGCAGAGTGGTGCAGGGGGTAAGGGGGTGGTGTAGTGGTCCAGGAGTGTTGTATAGTGGAGCAGAGTGGCGTGATTTTTGGTTGGTACAATTTCCAGCCAAGAATCACAGTGATGAACAAGACAAATTTTGGAGAAATTTTGTTTTCAGGGGAAACGTCGAGAATGAAACACAGGTAATTCGATCACTGTATATGTGTTATCCATTAGAATTTATTTTTTTCTCATTCGAGAAGTTGGAAGTAACACTTAGAATTTAGCCTGTGAAAAAACACTAACTGTTTCGCGATCAAACGAATGCATGTTCTATAGACATATAGTCAAAATAAAAACTAGATAAAAAAAAGATCCAATAAAAGATTAGGATTATAACAGAACCCAAGTAAACCAACATGTTTTAAATTAAGCAGGATGATTAAAGTTTTAAGATAGAAAAATCTAATAAGTTACAAATGTTTTATTTGGTAGAGACAATCTAAGAAAGCTAAGAACTATACTAAGAAAAGTGGTACATTAAGAAAGTTTCAGGAAAAAAAAGAGAGGCAAATAAAGCTGCTGAAAAAAAAAAAAAAGATAAATAAAACTGTAAATAATGGTAAAACATAAAGTTAGAAAGAAAGCATAAAGGTATAGGTAAAGCATAATGATGAAAGCTTGAAAGATAAATTTTTGTAGGGTAAAAAATATGTATATTGGGCATACCAAAAGAATTAGAATGAGCAAAGCTACTTTATTAAATCCTATTTTAAAACCTAAACTAATTTGTGATGCAAGCAAGAAAATAAAACTGATCACCTAGGAGTCAATCTCCAACTAGGAAAAATATTAACTAAGACTATTATTAATACCCAAATTAGACAATGGGACAAATAATCCAAGGAAATATAATATTCTTCCATCTAAACCATGTCAGCTGTTAGTTTTCTATTGGACAATTCTTATTAAAAGAAACACATATGTCCACCGTTTGTGATATTTATTTTGAACCTAAACAGGATGGAATCAAACTACGTACATTGAAAGCTTCAATTTTTGTGAACAACGTGAAACACAAACGATCCCTTGAAGAATAAATAAGCAAGAGGAGGCAACTGGATTCCATTTATTCTTGTCTCTTACAAAGATTTTATGTTGAAACAAGCATATATGCTTACTGAAAGTATAGGAAAACACGTAAAGAAGTAACAAAAAAATTCTTGAAGTTGGCTGTACGTAAATATAAATACCAACGAAGGGAGCTGACATATGTTTCCAAAACAATTCCTTAAAATTCTTATGTGTTTATTCACGTTTCGTTGTTGAAGGAAAATGCTGAGAGGTGTCGGAGATACTACAGTAGTAGTATGAGCTCTTCAAGGATTGCTTCAAGCCATTACAGTTGCAATAGAGAAAGATGAAATCAATGATGACATCTTGCAGCGCATGAAATCCACGTTACTGTCCCTAATTCCAATTTTCCAAGAGATAGAAAAAGCTAGGGGCAAAATAGGGTGGTGATGACAAGCAGGAAATAGAAAGGCTGGTGGAAGAGATCAAGAAAGGAGTGAAAGTAGTTGATAAAAGCTCAAAAATCAGTTATGGTTGCTGCAGTTGCATTGCGAATCCTTTCTACACAAATGAACTCGTTGCTTTGGACAAGTCTCTAACAGCATTCCGTCAGATTGTTGTGCAATGTCCACAAGCAAGGGATCAAAAAATGATTTTGGTCAAGGCGGCCGAAATTCATGATGAGATCGAGGAATTAAAAAAACAATGGTCTATGTTCTATTGCTCGGTTCCTGATCCTCCAAAATTTGTTGTTGGATTGGAGGGGCCGCTGGACCACCTAAAGAAAATGCTATTAGGGGAAGGAGTATCTGTTGCGGTCTTATCTGCACCTGAAGGTTATGGAAAGAGCACATTGGCTAAAAAATTCTGTCGAGAAAAAGAAGCTGAAGGTATTTTTTCCGTTACTTATTTTATGTGTAACTTTACTTCTTTCTCCTTTTAATCAACAACCAGCTAGGATTTCAGTTTTATTCACTAACCCAGTTGCTGCAATTTAAAAATATTGTTCTCCAAGTAGTTTATATATATATATATATATAAATGATTCTTATTTTTAAAATTATCTACAACTTAATCCTTTTAATCTATTTTCTGTCTTTTACCAATTTATATTGTTTTTTTTTTAATTTTAAGAAAAAAGAAAAAAGAAGTAGATAGGACGGAAAAATTGATGAGAAAAGAATGTATTTGGAATAAAATACTAACTAGCTAGTACAGTAAATACTAGTTAAAAGATTACTTAATTATTTTTTATGCTATTAGGATTAAGGTATATACATATACACTGTCCACTGCTAGAAGAGACAAGGGAGGGCAACAACCCTCTCAATTTTGAATATCAATCTATGCATTTTGGTTCTTGTATTCTTAAAAGACTTGATGATTTTTTTTTCCCCCTTGAATTATTGGGATTGTGGTACATTTAGACATATTTTATCAATTTGATTAATTTTGTCTCTGAACTATCACATTCAATTCAAATATTATTCTTCTATTTGATCTGATTGTTATCATTGACTGAAAATCCCTTTAATTTTTTTTCAACTTTCAATATTTTTAGCTGAAGATTTTCACTTATACTAATAAAAATTCAATCTATTTTCAAAAGTAGTTTCAAATTTTTTTAGGCCAAGAAGTATTTTTTTTAGATTTTCTTAAACGTTAAATATTTACAAACTTGTATAATAATAATAATAATTTAGAATGATCTCAATTTTTTTTAGAGGCCATAAACAAAACATAAAATTTTTTAGTTTTAGTGTGATTCTTAAAATATTTACATCTTCAAACCAAACCAAGTTCAAAATAGGTTAATTTTAGAAACCACACATGGATTTTTTTTTAAACCTACCTATATAAATATATTTATATGACCTCATTAGGGCTTTCAAATAAATTTGAGATAATTCCAATTTATTTATATTTTTCACAACTTATTAAATTTTTACTGTGCAAAAAAATTTTTTAAAAAAACATTTCAGCTTCAACAAATTTTTAAATGATTTGTGAAAGTGAATTGATTTTACATTAGCATCTAGAAAAAATTTTAGTTGAAAATACCAAATTACAAATTTTTTAGGGTGAGTTTTAATCAATGGTCAAAGTTTGACTCATTGGCCTAATAGCCAAATCAAGCATAGAGACAATATTTACTCAAAACATGATTGTTTAAGGATAAGATTAATCAACTTAATACTATAGGTCTCAATATGCTAGAATTTCAATAGTTCAGGAGCAAAAACTGCCTATAAATCGTTTTTAGAGATATATATAGTTTGACTATTAATGTTGAACAACTTTATTTGATTAGATCCTTGAACGTAAATAAAATTTTTAGAAAGATCCTGTGTATTAACGTAGTTAGTTAAAATTGGACGACCCAAAGAAAACAATTGTTTTAAGTCATCACACACTTTATATATATAATCGCAATGTTGCAATGTATGCAAAATTATTTTATTGAAATTAATAAAAAAAATTATCTTTTATTCAAATTATATTCAATAAAATTGAAGAGGTAAACCGATCCCTGAACAATTTCATAAATAATACCATCTCATAGGTCTTCCCTTCCTAACAATTTTGGTCAGTACAAGCCTCTAAGTCTATATATATATATATATATATAGTTTTTTCTGAAAAATAAAAAATAAAAACTATGTCAGTTGAATGTTTTTCAGAAAATTTCAGCAACAGTTTACTAATACTTCAGTTTTTGAACAGAAAAGTTTAAGGACAACATCTCGTTTGTCATAGTCTCAAAAAAGCCAAGCCTGAAGGTTATTGCACGGAGATTATTGCTGCATAAAGGAAATTCAAATGTGCCTGAATTTGAAAGCGATGAAGAGGCAGTTCATTGCTTGGAACAATTTATGAAGAAAATAGGAAATGATCCCATATTGCTGGTCCTGGATCATGTTTGGCCTGAATCCCAATCCCTCATTGATAAATTGAAGTTCGAGATTCCCAATTACAAGGTTTTGGTTATCATCTACATCTGTTTTGCCAGGATTGGGCTATATGTATAGGTTGTAACCATTAAGTAATGAAAATGCCACCTCTCTTTTTCGTCATCACTCAGCTATCCTAGCTGACCACAGCTCTTACACTCCTCCTGATGATCTTGTGGATAAGGTACTTTCTCAGCATTCTATGACATGCACAATACTTGAGGTTATTTTATAGTTTTTTGACTGAAAATTTACATGAATAACTCATAATTCATACTATTAAAATTGTTTAATTCTATTTCCTTTTTCTTATCTATAAGTTAGCCATAAATTTCGACTCAAAATTGGAAGTCATGAAACACTAATTTTGTTCTCAATAACTTTTTTCTTGCTGGAGTTTTGACAAAATCTGAATTATGAAGCCTAATTGTTAGTACCTCACACGTTTCTTCTGCAAGGCATCTCAGCCTTTTTAAATATGATATTTGAGTGACAATTTTACAAATATACTTTGAATTCTTGCTCATGTAAATCATACAAAGTGAGCTCTAACTAAGATAATGCTGAGTGATTATAATTTTGGCATAGATTTCAGATGGTGAAAGCCTGCTGTGGGGTTCCGCTAGCCCTTACAGTTATTGGCCGATCACTCTGTGGGCAGCCTGCTGCAACCTGGCAAAATAGAGCCATGGAATTGTCTAAAGGCGACCCTATATTTGAATCAAACCCTGATCTGCATAATTATGTCCAAAAAAGCTTGGAGGTATTGGATGATAAGGTTGGTGTGAAGGAGTGTTACATGGACTTAGGTTCGTTCCTGAAGGCCAACGGATTCCTGCCAATGCGCTCATTGATATGTGGGTTGAACTGTATGGTCTAGATGATGAAGGTATAGATTCCATTGCCAGGTTACATGAACTTGACACCCTGAATCTGGTTGATCTTGAAGTGCCAAGGTAATCCTCTTATTATTTCTCCTATCACGCGCGGTCCACTAATAAATTGTTTCTTTACTATGAGTGCTGCCTTTGTTTGATCAGCTTACTTTAGCAAGATTGAATAGTATTCGTATTAATCATTTGTCATACGCATTAATTGGTTTCCAACTGTAATTTGTTTTGATTTCAACTTACAATATGACATCCTTGTATCTAAATGAGGAATTGCTTCCATTAATCATATTCTTCAGGAAAGATGCGACTGAAATTGATGGCTACTACGATGACCACTTTGTCATGCAACATGATCTTCTTCGCCAAATGGTCATCCACCAATGCAGCTCGGAGCTTCCTGAACAGAGGAAAAGACTAATTGTGGACGTAAGCGAAAAAAAATTTCCCAAGTAGTGGAGCAATAAAAAAATATCCATCCGTGCTCGCCTCCTGTCAATCACCACAGGTTCACCATTCATCTCTAATTTTCCTCTAATGCTCTTGGTTGTTAATTCAGAAATGATGCTACTTTGGGACAATATTGCTAAATGATCACTCATTCTATACAACAATTAATATAATGATAGATCATGAAAGAGTAGAAGCGGCAGTCATGTTTTAATTTGTTTTTGGCTGCCTTCTCTCCCTACCGTTACAGATGAAACATTCACACCAAATTAGTCCAACTTGCAAGCAACCGAAGTGGAGGCTCTAGTTCTGAACTGTCGCACAAAGAACTACAAGTTACCTGAGTTCATGGAGAAAATGGATAAACTAAAGGTTCTCGTAGTCACAAACTATGGTTTTCCACCTGCTGAAATCACTAATTTTCCACTTCTTTGTTCTTTGTTGAATCTGAAGAGGATTAGATTGGAGAATGTTTAAATTTCCTCCCTCAACTTAACATCTGTACAAGTACACCATGTGCGAAAAATATCACTTGTCAAGTGTAACATTGGTCAGGCTTTTAGCAACATTGATGAGCAGTTATCAAGTGCATTTCCAAACCTGTCGGAGATCAACATTGACAGTTGCACTGACCTGACGAATCTGCCAGTTTGGTTTTGTGATCTTGTCCACCTAAAGAAACTCAGTATCAACAGCTGTAGGAAGCTCTCAGAACTGCCCCAGGAAATTGGAAAGCTGGTGAACTTAGAGGTGCTAAGGCTTTGTTTCTGTGTTGGATTAGTAAAGCTACCAGAGACTATTAAGAACTTATCCAAGCTCAGCATTCTTGACAAATCCGACTGTGCAAGCATTGTGGAGTTGCCAACAGAGATTGGAGACTTGCATAAATTAAGAAAGCTCCACATGAACGGTTGTTCAAATATTTCCAAGTTACCACCAACAGTTGAGAGTTTAAAAAGCCTACAGGATGTGATATGCGACAAAAAAGATGCCACTTTGTGGCAAACTTTCAAGCCATCTCTGGAAAGACTGAAGATAAAGGTGACGGAAGTGTTGGAATATGCTAGAGTTTAAAATTTGTAATTGTTTGTATCCTATATATATGCACAACTTCAATAAATAAATAAAACTTGTGTCATGAACTCTGCTGTAATCATGTACCTGATGACTCTTAATGAGAATCTATTTATTCTTCTGTAAAATTTGACTGTTGAATGTTAACATTTTAAAATTAGGATTACTCGAGGTAATTAAACAAAGAAAAAAGATCCTCCTTTATTACCTACCTGAGTTCTGCTAGGGTACCCAGCAATCTTGTCAACATAAAGCAATCTAGCATCACTTTTTTTTTTTTTTCCTTAATTCTCTCTCTTATCTCTCTCTCATCTATCTCTCTTTTTCTAGAGTAAGTATTGTAAACATTGTTAGCATAAAATTTCTCTCTGATTTTATCTCAGTAACAACATCAGCAATCTTTTCCAGTCCACCTGCCATGTCATCATTATTTTCCTTTGAATTCCAAGAATTGCAATGTGAAAAAATGAAATTGAAGTCTACAAAATCTTGCTGCACAGATTTAATTACACGAAAGATGATTTAGAATAAAAAACTAATTACGAATAAAAAACTATGATACTTAAAATTGAGACTATGACCAAATTGGAAGAATATATAGAAGCCATAAGTATATGTTTTGGAGTTATGATTCTCAATGATCTTATGGTAGAATTGATGGAATTGAAGCAAACTCATGATATGCAATCATTTCTTAAGAAGTTTATCTTTATTGTTAACAGATTAACCTTACTCGAAGATTACAGTTCAGCTGCTTTACAGGAGGCTTGCGTTCTAAATTACAAGTGCTAATGAAGGTTATGATACTTAAAACTTTTAAAAAAGGCCAAGCTTCAAGAGATTAAGCCCAACCTTCCACATCACCCTCGGAGATTCAACACCAAATTTCTTTCTTACTTACAACCCGAAACCATTCTTAAATTCTCTAAACTCCAACCAGAAACCTACCTTCAACAATTTTAGACCTCTAAACACTATGAACTAGATTCCCCAAACAAATTACAAAACTACTAATCATCATAACTAAACAGGTATATTGCCTTTACCCTTCAATTCTAAAATGGTAATTCTATTTTCAGAACAAAAAAGCTTCCTAGCAATAATGACTTGGATGAAAGGAGGCTAAGAGGATTATGTTACTTTTGTGATGATAAGTATGTGTCTTGCCATAAATGCAAGGGAAGACAAGTGTTTATGCTAGAAGTGGAGGATTGCACGATTGGTGATTTTGAGAATGAGATTATCGGGGAAGAAAATGTTTATGGAGAAGATGAAAATAAAGACAATCTAGTTGAAGAGCAGTATTAGATTTCAATTCATGCGAGTGTTGGGTGGGGAACACTCTCGGACTATGAACATGTTAGGAGAATTAAAGAGTAAAAGAATGAGTATATTCATAAATACAGGTAGTACTCATAATTTTGTGGATTTGGGATTTGCTAAGAGGAATTAATGTGTAATGGTCAAAACGATGGAGATATTATTTATCAATATAAATTTAATAATTTCAAGTGGAAGATGCAAAGAGAGGTGTTTGAAGCTATTATTTTTGTGATGCATTTAGGAATGTATGACATAATTTTGAGAGTAGCATGATTATATATTATAGGAGATATAAGTTGGAATTTTAAGGAGATGTGAATGAAGTTATAAAAAATAAAAGATTGTTTTCTTTGTAAGGGAAGTACATCAAACGAAGTAAGAATAAAGCAAATAAGGAAATGTATAGGGCTATCTGTAAATAACAACACGTAACTTGGTTATAAGTAAATCAATTAGTGGATCTTAAAGAAATGGCTTTGGCAAACCTGGGAGTAGAGTTAGTTCAATCAATTCTAAGAGATTTGGTGACAATGTTGGATTTGTTTAAAGATATTTTTGAAGAGCCTAAAGGGTTATCACCTTAAAGAGTACATTATCATAAGATTAATTCGAAGGAAGGATCGAACCCATAAGACCGAAACCTTACAGGTATCATTTTACTCGGAAAGATGAAATTAAGAAACAGGTGCAAGAAATGTTAAACAATGGTATTATATTGGTGTAAGTCTATTTTCTTCTCCAAGTGGTGTTGGTTAAAAAAGAAGGATAATTCTTAGAGGATATGTGTGAATTATAGGAAACTAAATCAAATGACTATCAAGGATCAATTTTCCATTACTATCATTAAGGAGCTTCTTGATGAATTACAAGGATCAACTATTTTTTTCTAAATTAGACTTGCATGTTGGTTATCAACAAATCAGAATGTATATTTTTGACATTCCAAAAACAGCTTTTCAAACACATAACTATGAGTATTTGGTTATGCCATTTGGTTCAACTAATGCCCTTAGTACTTTAATTACGAATATATTTTTAGAATTGCAATGTGAAAAAATGGAATTGAAGTCTACAAAATCTTATTGCACAGATTTAATTACACCAAAGATGATTTAATTATTTTAATCTCTCATATTCATGATATTGACTTGACTTTGAACATTTCTCATAGGTACACTACTTTCTACATTTACATAGTTTCGAGACATCTATATATATATAAAATAAAATAATTACGCGTGCGCCACATGTATATATAAAAAGAAGTCCTGTATAACTCTCATGGAAGGGTCCTGGGCGTCTCTTGCAGACGATGTAGGAATAGCTTCACATTTGTGGCCTCTTGACTGTCCCTCTTAACATTTCACGCAAACTTCTTCAAACTACTTATCAGCACCTGAATTTCTATTTTGACTTGCTCGAGGTTGATGTTCCCACCATCAAGAAAGGCTTCGATAGTTAGCAACTTGTTGAGAACTCCTTTCAACTGCTCACGAATATTGTTCACATCAGCATTCTCCAAAAACTCTTTCATCTTCATATGAATTTCCTTCAGCTCTTCATAAATTTCTTGCACATTATGATCAGTGGACATAGCAATGCTTAGTTGTTTCAATGGCAGAACATACTTATAGAAATCACTAATTGAATCATCCAAGTCGCGAAGTTCTCGTCCACAATGACACTTTTTGAAGCAGCTACAGCACTTTCTTTTTGAGCATTTGATCACAATTTTTTCCCCTTTTTTCACTTGTTCCCACAACTTCTTTATTTCCTCCTTTCCGCTATGTTCGTTCCTCTGCTCTTTGATCTGTTCAATGATTGGCTTTATATTTCGTAGCGTGCTTTCCATCCTTTTCAAGATAGTTACATACTTTATTTCTTCTTGTATTCCTTTGGACACAGCTTCTAACAACTTGTCCACAATTAGTCCTGCACCTGCTTCAATAATACCTGACATAACTTCAAAAGAAATACCAACTCTCCTAAACCCTCCAGAATTCCAACTGCCTTCAGATTTGCATATGTATATATATATTGGAATTCTGTATGTGCTTCCTGTCTGTAAATGAACAAAACAGTTGCGGAGAACTTACTTTGCTTCTTTATCAAACGAACACATTAATAACTTTATTCTTGTATCAGCCGGGGAAAGCACATATGCTTGCTTCGGAAAAAAATTATGATTTGATTTTGATTACAACAAGGGAAAAAGCTAGATCAATAAATAGAATGAGCAACCGAACAAAGAAAAGAACCAAACCAAAGATAGAGTGTTAGTTACTCCTTTTTGGCTTCTTAAACTTCTTTTTCCCGATTCTGCACTATATTTAAGCTTATTTTGCTTGTAACTTTATTCATTAAATTATTTTGGAGAGACTTAATTGACTGTGAAAGTTTTTCCTAACAAATGACGATGCATTAATCATACATACGCGAGTTCTTTCGTGCCAGCATTAATTAATAAGATTTTGTAATATTAATAAACTATGATTGGGATGCGTTCTACAAGACAATCTTATAGGTAAATAAACCAAATTAACTCTGGAATATTAATGCAATCCTTTGGTGATGGTGATGAACTGGACAACTGTACTAGCTGGCAGTGGTTAACAGATGGCGTTTGAGCTGGTAAGGAGCTGAAGTGTTAAGTGGAGCTGGCAAGGAGCTGAGGTGTTAAGTTGTTCGTAATTAGTTAGATGTTAGTTGATAAAAAAAGAGCGAAGAGAAGGGAAAAACAGTTTTATAGGAAACATAATTCTCTCTCTGTCTTAGCTCTTCTCCTTTCTCTCAAATTCTTCAATTCTTCCTTCCTCTGTATTTCTTTTTTCTCATTCATTGTAAGCATACTATTACATTGTTTTTCATTCATTGCATTTATATACAATCATTGTTTTCAGTTGATTTCCAATAAGAATCTTAGTTTTCTACAAGTTGTTCTTATAATTCTTTAGAGTTTCCATTGATTTGAATTGGAGTTGAATCAATTGGTATCAAAACTGATATTCGCACTTGTGGAAAGCAAATTAAGTTGATCAATCACGGCAAAGGTAGGTTCTAACATGAAAAAGATGGAAGAGCCAATTAACAACCTCACGAAAGGTAATTACTGAACTAAATCAAAGATGTGCTTTTGTGTTTTTGTAACATGATCTGGAGATTGGTGAATTGAAAGAGTTGGTTAATGGAGTCAAGAATCCGAGTAGATGAAAAAGTACCAAATAGAGTAAATCGTAATGTGGATGAAGGTTTGGGTGGGTTTAATGATAAAGGTTAACAAATTCCTAGGTACGGATATTCTAATAATCCTCTCGAATGCTGGATTGATGAACAATAATTTTGAATGAGTCAATGGGGAATACAGTTACAATTACAATACACACATGTCTAAGGTGGAGTTTCTTAGATTTTCTAGCAATGACTTTGAAGGATGGGTATTCATATGTGAGAAGTTTTTCATTATGGATAGAACACTAGAGGAAGCTAAGGTGAATGTAGTTGTTATCCATCTAGAAGAAGAAGCCTTGGAATGGAATTAGGTCTTTGCGAGGATGAATGACATTGAGACTATGACCAAATTGGAAGAATATATAGAAGCCATGAGTATATGTTTTGGAGTTGTGATGTTCAATGATCCTATGGCAGAATTGATGAAATTGAAGCAAACTCATGATGTGCAATCATTTCTTAGGAAGTTAATATTTATTGTTAACAGATTAACCTTACTCGAAGATTACATTATCAGCCTACTTTACAAGAGGCTTGCGTTCTAAATTACAAGTGCCAATGAAGGTCATGATACTTAGGTGTTGTTTGGTAATCGGGAATAGAGTGGTGGGAATGAGAATGAAAGTTTTATTCTCACATTATAACTATTTGGTTAAAAGGAATGAAGTGAGAATCGGAATGAAGAGTGAAAATGGGAATGAAAATTTACACACAACTTCATTCCGACATAATATGTGGGAATAAAAAACAAAGAATAAGAATGAAGTTTTTTTCAAAATAATAATATATTTTATTTATTTATTATTTATTAACTACTTTTACCACTATCACCATCACCACAACTACCACCATTACCACCATTACAACAACCATAACCACCACCACACCACCATCCACCACCACCTATCTTCATCACCATCATCCACATCACTACCACCACTACCACTACGCCATCCATCATCACCACCACTACCACCACTACCATAGCCATCATCATCACCACCACTACCACCACTACTACCATCATTAATCACACCATACCATAACCACCATTGTCACAATCTACCACTATCCATCGCAATCATTATCGCCACCGCTACCACCACCACTAGAACCACCACTATCACTAACCACAATCACCTTTATTATTTTTACAACCATCATAGTTTAATAAAATTATTTTTTTAATCATTATTTATATTTAAATACAAAATCGGATATTAAAAAAATTTAAATTGCATTCCGATTCCTTATTAGTATTCCAAACACGGTATTGGAATACAAATACCATTTCGATTTCTTAATTTTTATTTCGATTCTTGTATTTCCACTCCCATCACTTTATTTCTGATTACTAAACAACACCTTAAAACTTTTAAAAAAGGCCAAGCTTCAAGAGATTAACCCTAGCCTTCCACATCATCCTCAAAGATTCAACACCAAATTTCTTGCTTACAACTCGAAACCATTCTTAAATTCTCTAAACTCCAACTAGAAACCTACCTTCAACAATTCTAGACCTCTAAACACTATGAACTAGATTCCCCAAACAAATTACAAAACTACTAATCATCATAACCAAAAAGGTATATTGCCTTTACCCTTCAATTCTAAAATGGTAATTCTATTTTCGGAACAAAAAAGCTTCCTAGCAATAATGAATTGGATGAAAGGAGGCTAAGAGGATTATGTTACTTTTGTGATGATAAGTATGTGTCCGGCCATAAATGCAAGGGAAGACAAGTGTTTATGCTAGAAGTGGAGGATTGCACGAGTTGGTGATTTTGAGAATGAGATGATTAGGGAAGAAAATGTTTATGGAGAAGATGAAAATAAAGACAATCTAGTTGAAGAGCAAGTATTAGATTTCAATTCATACGAGTGTTGGATGAGGAACACTCTCGGACTATGAACATGTTAGGAGAATTAAAGGGTAAAAGAATGAAACAAATAAGGAAATGTATAGGGCTATCTCGTAAATAACGACACGTAAATTGGTTTTAAGTAAATCAATTAGTGGATCTTAAAGAAATGGCTTTGGCAAACCTCGTAGTAGATTTAGTTCAATCAATTCCAAAGGAAGTGCATTAAACGAAGTAAGAATGAAGCAAATAAGGAAGTGGATAGGGCTATTTGTAAATAACGACACGTAAATTAGTTATAAGTAAATCAATTAGTGGATCTTAAAGAAATGGTTTTGGCAAACCTAGGAGTAGATTTAGTTCAATCAATTCTAAGAGATTTGGTGACAATGTTAGATTTGTTTAAAGATATTTTTGAAGAGCCTAAAGGGTTATCACCTCAAAGAATATATCATCATAGGATTAATTTGAAGGAATGATCGGAACCTATAAGACTAAAACCTTATAGGTATCATTTTACCCGTAAAGATGAAATTAAGAAACAAGTGTAAGAAATGTTAAACAATGGTATTATACTCGGTGTAAGTCCATTTTCTTCTCCAGTGGCCTTAGTAAAAAAGAAGGATAATTCTTAGATGATATGTGTGGATTATATGAAACTAAATCAAATGACTATCAAGGATCAATTTTCCATTCCAATCATTAAGGAGCTTCTTGATGAATTATAAGGATCAACTATTTTTTTCTAAATTAGACTTACATGTTGGTTATCAATAAATCAGAATATATATTGTTGACATTCCAAAAATAGCTTTTCAAACACATAACTATGAGTATTTGGTTATGCCATTTGGTTCAACCAATGCCCTTAGTACTTTTGAATCATTAATGAATGATATTTTTAGACCTTCTCTTCAAAAATTCATTCTAGTGTTTTTTTTAATGATACTTTAATCTTTAGCAAAACTTTACATTGGCATGTTCATCGTTTGAAAACAACATTGAGTGTGTTGAGAAAAAATATTTGTTTGCTAAACATTCTAAATATACCTTTGGCACTTCAAAGATAGAGTATTTAAGGCACTTCATATATGAATAAGGTGTTTAAATTGATTCTAAAAAAAATTCAAGTGATGTAACAAAGGCCTATTCTATAGAATTTGAAGTAGTTGAGGAGATTCTTAGGTCTTATAGGTTATTATAAACGTTTTGTGAAGGGTTATCGTACAATAGTTAAACCTTTGATAGATTTACTCAAGAAGGATGGATTTACATGGAATCCTGTAGTTGAAAAGCCTTTATGGAGTTAAAGAGGGTGATGGTTACAACTCCAATATCGACATTACCTCAGTGGAATGAGGATTTTATAATTGAAATCAATGCTTCTAGATGAGGAATTGGGGCAATGTTAATGTAAAAGGGTCATCTTATTGCTTACATTAGAAAGATGCTACATCATAAGCCTCAAACACTATTCATATATGAAAAAGAGTTACCGGCCATTCTTTTTGTTGTTAAAAAGTGGCATCAATACTCGGGAAACGGACACTTCATTATCGAATAGATCATCAAAGCTTAAAACACTTATTGGAGCAACAAATCCACATCCCTAATCAATTTACTTGGTTAGTCAAATTGATGAAGTACAATTATGAAATTGTGTATAAAAAGGACAAGGAAAATGTAACTGCGGATGCTCTTTCACAAATACAATTAGCAAACATTGTTTTTTCCTCTATTTCTATTGATTTGATGAAAAAGATTCAAGTTTCTTGGAGTTTAGATACGAGGCTATCAATTGTAGTAACACAATTGCAAAGTCCTGGAGGAATGCATTCAAAATATGTGTGGCAAGACCAATAGTTGTGAA